TATTGGTCAGAGCGCAGAGGCCGGGGCCAGGGCCAAAGACCTCAGGGCTCCACCTCGGGTGAGGGTTTTCTGAAAAAATCCTTGATTCTCCTGCCAAAACTCTTGATCTTTTCCCAAACCTTCTTTTTAGCATTCTTGATGCGTTCCCCTAGATTCTCAATGTTCAATTCGACGTTCTTGATCTGTGCACGCGGAGGAAACAGGCTCCATGTGGGGCTGGGCCAGGGTTAGGAGCCCCCACCTGCACCCCCTTCCGGGCCAGCGAGGCACCTAGGGGCCCGGCTCCCGCTCTGCCTGTGACCTTGGAGCCTGTGGTGGAGCCCCCACCCCTTAAGCAGATGGGGAAACTGAGGCCCAGAGATGGCTACTGGCTTCCCCAGGTCACAGGGCCCATCCAGCAAAGCCGAGGCGGAGACGGGCTGAAAGCTCATCAGCGCAGTGAGCGGCCCCCCAGCCTCAGCAGGAACCTTCTGGAAGGTGGCTGCATGCCCCCTGCTGGGCCTCACCCAGAGTCTGAGGCTGCAGGTAGGGGGGGGCGGGGCTGGGAGGGGGCCTTTCTAACAGGCTCCTGGGCAGGGACCCCACTCAGATCCAGGCTGGGGCTGTGGGAGGAGGGGTAGGGGGCTCCCTGGGCCCAGGACGCTCCAGGGCCACACCCATCGGCCCCCAGGTCTCAGAAGGGGCGGCTCACCTCCTCGCAGACGACGTCATTGTAGCCGGTGTCCGGGTCCAGGGTGACGGTCCCCGCGCACTCCTTCACCACCTGCAAGGGCGCAGGTCACACCTCCACCCGGAGCTGAGCCCTCCCGGCCGCCCCGTCCCTGGGAATGGGCCCCGAGGCCTCCTGTCCAGCATCTCGGGGCGCCCCAGACCCCAGCTCACCCCGTTCTTCTTGAAGTCACACTGCTCGGGGGGCTGCCGCGTCGTCCTGGGGCACACAGTCTCCTTCAGGGTGAAGCTCACGGGCTTCCGGGTGTCTGGGTTCAGGTCCTGGCGGGAGAGAAAGTGGGGAGACCAGGGCTGGGCCTCTGCTTGCTTCCCTGGTCTCGCCCTGCTCCGCCCCCTCCAAAGAGAACAGCCTTCAGCAGCCCTGCCCTGTTCCTGGCGCTGGTTTGGTGCTGGGTGTGGGCAGGGGAGAGGGCAGAGCCCGCCTAGATCCAAGGGGACCCAGGGCGCAGGGCCTCCTGGGGCCTCCTGTGTGGGAGGCAGATGAGCACAGGACACTCAAAGCAGGGCCGTGCCCTGGTCCGTTTGGCTCAGGGCACCTTCAGTCCTGGGTTCAATTCCTGGTCAAGGGCACCTGCCCTGGTTGCTGGCTGGATCCCCAGTAGGGGGCGTGCAGGAGGCAGCCGATCAATGAATCTCATCATGGATGTTTCTCTCCCTCCCTCTCCCTCCCTGAAATCAATAAAAATCTATTTTAGCCCTAGCCGGGGTGGCTCATTGGATAGAGCGTCAGCCTGCAGACCAAAGGGTGCCGGGTTCAATACTGGTCAAGGGCACATATCTCCAATGCAGGCTCCTCCCTGACCCAGGCCCTGGTCAGGGTTTTTGTAGGAGGCAACCAATCCATGTGTCCCTTTCACATCGATATTTCTCTCTGTGTTTCCGTCTGTCTAAAAATTAATGGAAAAATATCCACGGTTGAGGATTTTTAAATAATAAAAATATATCTACATGTACTTATTAAAAATAAATAAATAAAGCAGGGAGTCACACCCCAGCCCCATGGCCTGCTCTTCCCTGGGACCCCAGAAGCCTGAAGCCTGAGTGGGGGTTGGGGGGGACCTCATTGCACAGAATAGATTCGCAGGCGGGAGCGGCCTCTGGGAGGGGACACAGCCCTGGGAGGTGCCCTGGAGGAGGGGGGACCCCTGGAGGGAGCAGCCTCCCTGAGGGCGGCCAAGCAGAAGCCAAGGGAATGGCAGGAGGCCAGAGCAGAGCCCCTCCCGCCCCCCACTCACGCCCTGGGGCTGCGGGTCCTGCTGCAGGAGGCGGTAGAGGCTGGCCTCCCGGGAGCGCTGGTTGAAGCCCTGCACAGCCAGGCGCACCGCCTCCTGGTAGCTCAGGGCCCAGGATGGGGATGGAGGAGAGGGCATGGCCTGGCCCAGCAGCAGCAGCAGCAGCAGAAGGCGCCCCCACCACAGGCTGTTCCTCTGGGTCTCCATGTCTCCGAGTAGAGTCCCCCCAGCACGCAGGGCCCCCTTTATTCAGCCTGGCCGGGCCCCACCTTCCCGGGCCCCGGCGGCCGGGCTTGCCTCAGCTCCCTGTTGCCTCACAGGCTGCTGCTCGGTGGGCGAGGTCGCTCCTGGGCAACGTGAAGAAATGGTTTCCCCATCTCCTCACCTGCTCCTTCTTCCTCCTGGGACACTTCCCCTTTCCCCCACCTCATCCCCCGCATGGCTCCTGCACCCCTTCCCTTCCTCCCCTGTGAATGCAGCCTAACCTCCAGACACCACCGCCTCCAGGCTCCAAGCTGCCCCAGACCACAGTCGCCATCCTCACCATCCTCACCATCCTAAACATCCTCACCATCCTCACCATCCTCACCATTGTCACCATCCTCACCATCCTCACCAAGCTCACCATCCTCACCATCCTCACCATCCTCACCATCCTCACCATCCTCACCATCCTCACCATCCTCACCATCCTCACCATCCTCACCATCCTCACCATCCTCACCATCCTCACCATCCTCACCATCCTCACCATCCTCACCATCCTCACCATCCTCACCATCCTCACCATCCTCACCATCCTCACCATCCTCACCATCCTCACCATCCTCACCATCCTCACCATCCTCACCATCCTCACCATCCTCACCATCCTCACCATCCTCACCATCCTCACCATCCTCACCATCCTCACCATCCTCACCATCCTCACCATCCTCACCATCCTCACCATCCTCACCATCCTCACCATCCTCACCATCCTCACCATCCTCACCATCCTCACCATCCTCACCATCCTCACCATCCTCACCATCCTCACCATCCTCACCATCCTCACCATCCTCACCATCCTCACCATCCTCACCATCCTCACCATCCTCACCATCCTCACCATCCTCACCATCCTCACCATCCTCACCATCCTCACCATCCTCACCATCCTCACCATCCTCACCATCCTCACCATCCTCACCATCCTCACCATCCTCACCATCCTCACCATCCTCACCATCCTCACCATCCTCACCATCCTCACCATCCTCACCATCCTCACCATCCTCACCATCCTCACCATCCTCACCATCCTCACCATCCTCACCATCCTCACCATCCTCACCATCCTCACCATCCTCACCATCCTCACCATCCTCACCATCCTCACCATCCTCACCATCCTCACCATCCTCACCATCCTCACCATCCTCACCATCCTCACCATCCTCACCATCCTCACCATCCTCACCATCCTCACCATCCTCACCATCCTCACGAGAGGAAGGGTGAGGAGAGAGAGAAACATCAATGATGAGAGGGAATCATGGATAGGCTGCCTCCTGCACGCCTCACACTGGGGATCGAGCCCTGAACCTGGGCATGTGCCCTGACCAGGATTGGAACTGTGACCTCCTGGATCATAGGTCGACGCTCAACCACTGAGCAACACCAGCCAGGCATGGGCTGGAGTCTCCTTGCTCCCATTGCCATCCCCCCAGCCCTGCAGGCCCCAGGCGCCAGACTGCCCCATACCCCCCTTCACTCGGCCCGGAGCCTCCTGCTCCCTCCTCTCTGCCTGACACGCCTGGCCACCAACCAAGCCCTCCCTGACCTCCAGCCGGACGGGCCACCGTCTCCTCTTTGCTTCCAGCCTTAGGGACGTCTCTTCCAATTTGATCCCAGATGAGCCCGGTTAGTGCTCTAGTGGCAACAGACCTGGGCGGCTGCAGGGAGAGAGCACCTGGGAGAGGAGAGGCCAGCGTGCCAGGGGCCCAGCGGCAGCATGGACATGCAGGCCAGCTCCCCTGGGAGTGGCCATGCGGCCAGGAGGCCTGGGGTCGCTGCTGGCCTCTTGGCCTGGGGCCTCTTGGGGTTTGGACATCTGGGGTGGAGGGTGATGTTGCGCACTCGGCCTCGGGAGAAGGAAGGAGAAATGGGCTTGTGTGCAACCTGGTTTCACAGCCGGGATTGCCCCAGGGGCTCTGGACCAAGCCG